TTAAAAGCAGAGCTTTGATATTTCAATGTGCAAAAAGGCTTTTCAGTTTATTTTTAGAAAAATTGTACTTAAGAAGCACTAGTCGATAGAATACTTATTAATTTGTGAGAAATGCCAATAAACGTTCGGCTCGGAAATATGATTTACAATTTCGAAATAATTCAATACAAGACAAGTATACATAATTAAAAATCATTTATAAGCCCAAATACGCAATTTAAACTGCCTAATAGAATATCGTTTATTATTGTATAATTACGTTGAGGATAATGTGAACATTGTTAAAACCGGTTATTTATTTCACTGATACGTTGTACTGAGAAATTTAACATCAGGTATTCATGTTTATTGCGTATTGTATTCTTTAGATACAGACAAAATAACATGATAATAGGACAAGTGATTTTAGTTTTACACTGACCCCTTCCCATTTACATGGAACCTTGTGATGCGGCTGAAAAAACTAAAGCATGCATATACAGGGGTCTATCCGAATATTATTATTCGGTGTCGAGACCCTTGGTCCGTGGGGTCCTAGCGCTATAAGGCTTTTTAGGAAATAGCAAAAGATTAGTCGACGTCACAGGAGACCGAAGAGCTGGCAGCTACCTCGGATAAAGAATTAGTCTAGCTATTCAAAGGGGGAACGCTGCTAGTATCTTTGGAAACTTGGCTAAAGGGACTCCTTTTAATATATTTTAGTTATTATATTTAAGGTTAGTTATTGTTATTTTTTTTGGATTCATAAGCTGGGTTAAATTATATGATTGTTGCTATCATAAAGAATGTAGTTATTGTAATTAGAATTAGCATTAAAGTAAAATTACCTAGGCTGACATTTAACTGACACGATGATACAAAAATTGGTCTTTGTGCAAATGTCACAGGGATTCTAAACGCCAGAGAATAATTACTTCCTTTTAATCCGGTCTAGCGAGTTCTAGATTAGTGATAGACGGTTTAGATTTACAATTGTTAGGAACAAGTTTATAGTACTATCTATGTTATAACTTACTTCCCCGTTTTGCGAGCTAACTGAACACGTACAGTTTTAGATCACGGAAACGATATGTCCAACGAAGTTTTCAATGTTTTTTTTGCTCGACATGGCGAGCTAATAATTAAAACCAAGTGCTATTTTTTTGTGGGCAAACGGGCAGGAGGCTCACCAGATGCAGAGTGGTACCGCCGCCCACTCACAACGCCAGAAGGCTGGGGAATAAGCCGGGCTTTTTTAGGCATTGGCACGCTCTTTCAAAAAGGACTGTCATCAAATTGGTTCGGAAATACTTTGTTGGGAACTGGGAAGTTCCATATTTGTGCACAAAAATTTTGACGTAGAATTGTCGAATTGGACGTCGATCTGACAACTTTGATCTGACAGTCAGAATAAAAAAATGTGGACCGAAGATGAAAATTAATCAGAACCATGTCTCTTTTAATGGTAAATGCGGTAACAGGAGACAACCACAAGATCTCTACGCCGCTGGTCATCGATCGATCCATTTGAAATATTAAACAGAGGTAGTAATTAAACGTTTTAATCTCAATTACCTACAGAATTTTCTCTTTCTAAAATTAATTCCAAAATTGTTGATAAAAATCAGATATTTAGTAAGTTGCTTTTTGTGTAATTAATTAATAAAGAATTAACTATGGTATACATTTAGTAATATTACTAAATGTATACCATAGTATATAAAACCATATGTTTTTATTGTAATTTTATATGTTTTTTCCATTTAAATATTAGTAACTCAGTCACTGAAATCTCAAGAGATTATTTTTTATTTTCTGCCGAATTAATGTTGTTGTAATAATAAAAATAAGGTTAAAATAAACAAATGTCGGAAAAACAGGGGAAACGTGCTGCATTGACTAATATACGATTTATTTTATTTCTTTCCTTTGTGCGTCAGCCATGTTTAAATATATTACAAAGAAAATGATTTTTTGATTCCTTTGCTTCCACGTCTTTATAGTTCAGCCATTTTGTTCCGTTCCGATTTAATTTCAAAAGTACAAGTTACAATACATGTGTAGCGACATCGGTTGTCGTCCGTTGAGCGGTGTCTCAAATAGAACGAAACAAAAAGAATAGACGACACAAATAACGCTCCGAGACGTTGACCCACTTGACGAGATGTCACTAATGAGGGACTTTACTCAGGACGATTCTGGTGGAACTCTTCACAATTCCACCGGCGGCAAACAAAATCGACACTATTGCGTTAACCAAACCAAACCATCGCGCGTTTACTTGTTTATAATTATTATTATATTACCGTTCCTGAAGGAATCTAATATATTTAATGACATAGTAATGAGTCAAGGTAGGGAATTTAGTTCTTCTATGCAATATTAAAGACTCATTTATTTCATGGAAAATAATCCATATCTAAAACTGTTTCGAGTACAATATCCACAGATCAGCTTTTCATACACACTAATAACGGCTAATTCCAACATTATTATATTTGTTGACCGTGAATAACAATTAGGTTTTATACTGTTAGCAGGAAGTTTCCATAAGTAATCAAATTGTCTATTAGGAAATTGTATTTGGTGCACGACGGCGTCGACTATCTCATAGAAAATCACTATTAAATTATTTATTTGACAAAGTCTCGCTGCTGGCACGTATTTCGCTTGCTGTCTAAGCAAAAAGCAAATAATAGAAGCTACCATTTGCTTAATTCGGTAATAGGTCCGGGTGACCGCACGTCTGCGAGGAAGGTAAAAAGTTTATTCAGCTAAATCAATACCGAGGAAAGCCGGTTTGAGCCAGAGGGACGCTACGCTCTGACGCACGGTCCTTAATACTGTCACACCCTAACTGAACGAATCCTAACGAAATATTATTACTAGGAAAATAAACCAAATGCATTTATTTAATTTTTTTTACTAATAAACATTCCATATGCTGCATGCGCACGTAAGTGAAAATAGTAAATAATTTGCGTAGATAAATGACAATAACGAACTACTATTAAGCTAAATTCAAAGTAATCGGAATTAAAGCTATAATTTAAGTAGAATGTTCACCGCTGAAATGTATTGTCTAGTTACTATTCCTGCCTTTATGTACAACAAAACTTATTGATAACCATGCATCAGCTCTTTCGGCATCTCCACCAACACCACCACCACATGTGGTCCAACGTCCATAATATCTATTCTGATAGAAGAGCGTTATCGGCCTTTAATGTCTTCCAAAAAAAAACAATTGAAGGTGTTACAGGACTTGTATTTTAGAAAAATAAATGTGTATGGCATCTTAAAAAGTGTGGCTTTATTCATATGTGTATATCACCCTCATCAACTGATGTCATTAACAACTCATTAAAATGCGCGTAATTTAAGCGTAACATATATCGTTGTTAAGCCTAACTTACAAGTATATAAATAGATTATTTTTACAGAATCTTTGATTTTCTGGTATAAATTTGAAGTAGACAACTTTCGCCCAAGTTTTGTTACAAAATTAATTTGTTCTATGTATTTCTCTACAATTGTCATCTTTGAATGAATTTGTAACGTGATAGAAGTAAGATTTCAATAAGTTTACTTCGCATGCGTAAATGAAAGGACCCGTAATCGCTTAATTAAAATTATCGAGCAAGTACGTATTTTATAAATACATCGACGAAGATAATAGATAGGTGGCGATAATAAACCCTGGCATTTAGATTAATTAGCGAATGTTACGAACGTGTCATTAAAAGAATGGATGGTTTGAGCCGACATTTGATTTTAAATTGAGCGTTGCATCTCCCGTGACGCGTACCGGGAAATGGTGCCATGCCAGGGCACAATAAAAAAAATCCTGATCGCCGACCACAAGGTTGCGTTACCGAGATGAATGTTGGACCGGTCACGGTGTACTTCACACTTTGATTAATGTAATTTTCACCAACGCGATGGCCAAGGCTCTTTTCAATGTATACTGACTCGACTAATGTGTAGAACAATTCAATTCAGTGAGCTAATTCAGCGTCGAAATGTTGTAAACTAGAATATTGTACATTAAACTAGTTTAGATAACATCAAACGTAGAGAAATCAATCATAAACGGAGCAAGGAGACGCTGCAAGATAAGCTGATTATGAACGACGACGCGGTGAGAGCAATGTTCCTGCCCAAATAACTTGGCCGTTCTAATTTTATAATAACCGTTCGAGCTCCACAAATACATCATCTATTTTCTTATTGTTCTCTCACTCCCCGCTCCGCCGCTATCTTCAACCATGGGTTCGTTATCGGCGAAGCCGAACGTCAGCTAAAGATTGAATCGTTATTATTTTATTAAAAAGATTACGATAGTGACTCGATGGCACTGAAACTCTGTTAGCATAGTGATTTCGACACGACTGATATTTTTATAACACACGATAAGATATATTTATAAAAATGTATTTCTTTGTCGATTAAACCTATATAACTGGAAAATATTGGAATTCGACTAGTTCAAATGTCCGTATAACAACGTATGTCTTTGGAAGGTAGGCGGTTCCTATGCAACATGAGTGAAGGTATCTGATTTATTACTACAAAATAACTCAATAAATCCGAATATAATAATTAATCAGTAAATCACATGACTGGGATACTTTGCAAACTCAGTCATATATTATTGTGTTGGAGTATTCTAAAAGTCCGCGATGCGCCGCGGTCACATGATTACGCCTTGGCAAAAATATAATATGTTCCCAAACGACTAGCTCAACTAATACCGATGTGAAATACCGTCATGACAACAAACACTGTCTCGTCAAATTTCTCTGATGCTGAATTTTGTCGGATGCTGCTGACATAGGATTAAATAGTTAAACGGATTAGGGATTTCTGAATAACATTTAAAACTAACAAACAAACAATTGAATAATGAAATCGCTTAGTCAATGTTTGTTAACCTTTTAATTCGTGAATGCGTAATAATTCTTAAACACGGAACATTCAGTGCTCCCAAAAAGTGTTTGGAAAACTTCTGAGTCTTAAGGTCACAGGTATCGATCGACGACAGCTGAGAACCGCGGCGCCGACTCCATACCTCTGCACCACCTCAAAGGCAATCCCCACTCACTCTTTTTTCCACTAGCAACTACCACGAGACAGTTCGCGACATCCGCATAATTTTGCACCTACTACATATACCTTTGTTCAGTGCTGAGAAGTCGGGACGGGTCGATCGAAATCGTAGCAGACCCAATGCGGCAAAACGAGTGCGCGGAGGGAGCCCAAAGAAGTTAGCACGCGGCCCGTGACCTACTGCCCTAGAGCCGGTGCGCGCCCAGCACGAGCACGGGGTTGGTACTCACCGTTTCCGTTTATTAGGGGGTAGTCGTCGTCGTGCCGGCCGATGTAGGTCTTGAGCGGGGTGTCCGTGAGGGAGGGCGACGACCTGTCCCTGTCACTCATACTAGTCACTTAACACGAGACGCGATCAACGAGAGACGGACGGGGAGACGCGGGCCCCGTGTGCACTCCACGAGCGACCTACGGCCCGCGGCACGCGCGGCGAATAAATAATTGAACGCTGGCGAACGCCACCGCGCCGGTGACCGCCCTCCCGCTGCTGGCCTCCGCACCTCGCACATTTTACCTCCTCCAAACTCCCCACTTAGTCCCGCGCTAACTCACAAGGTGGCGCTTACACAAAAACATTACGACAAAACCCAAACTAAACATCGTTCCAAGTATACTTTATTGTTCTTGATCGTAAAACGGTAATAATAAGCCAATCTTGCCATATTCTAATATTTGAGAAATATTTATTTCGAATGATCTAATTTTTTTATTATAATACTATAGTATTACTAGAAAACTTATTCACATTTGCATACATATTATGTATACCTAGTAGTAAAAATACTGTAGGTAAGACAATAATTAATCCTTCATAAAGCATATTCGAGCGAAAATAAATACTTAAGTATAATTTTGTAAGTAGTGTATTAAAGATATAAAAGTCACTAATGAAGAAATAGTACTCCGGAAGCTCCGATTGTGAAGTACGAAGTTGTTCCAGACATGCTGCTGTTCCGAGTCCAGTGCCCCCTTAGGGAAAGTGGGCAACAGCTCATTGATATCCAGAGCACGGGATGTGGGCCCGCCCGGATCTTCTATTTCAGCGCGCTGATGCCGGCTCAGAACCGCCGACAGTTCGCGCTCCGCCACACTTGTTGTACTTGAAGATACTTGAGTTTCTGTAATAATTTGTTGTTTATTAAAGTAGATCAGATAGAAGAAATACGTATTGATCACTTTCAACAGACCAACGTAATTTGATTTTTAAGAGTAAAAAATGCTATGCTATAAAGAAATAAAATAAAAGTTGATCGTGAAATGTTTTAATATCCACGGATACAATACGTTAAGTAATCATAAATCTTATAATATTCACTAAACACACAATTTCATATTGAAAAGACAATCTTGCGGTTTTGTTCAGAAGTGACACATCAATATAATCGCAGACCAGTTCATCCCAGTTGTTAGTTAATTCATGAATATTCTTAGCATTGGATAGAAGTTTGTGGCGCATGAGACGTTTGGCGCGGCCAATACGATCAGGCGAGTCATCAGATATTTCTCTTGCCTGCATTCGCTGCAATTGAGACCCTGGGGATTCCACCATTACAACTGTTTGCAATCGGTCTGTTACTTGCATCAGAACAGGCGGCTTTGTTGTCAGGGTGTTACCACCTATACTTTCCTTTCTCTGAGCCTTTTTTAATATGGACAGTCTTGATTTTTCTGCCAGTGATAAATCAGAGGAATTCTGGACGTGCACTGTTGTCTTTAAACTACTAATAACTGTTGAGAGAGTTGTAGTATCGGCGGATGTGGTAGTGGTTTGCAGAAGCGATGATGTAGATTCTGATAGCGTAGCTCGTTCATCTGACGCATCTGGGATATTGGCTCGACGGAACCAATTCTCAAGAGGTCGAACTGATAACGGCATCGGTGTTTCACTTACTGGGCACAAAATTTAGAATGAATTAATACTTAGTCGACGACACTCAAATTGATAATGAATGAATGATGAATGAAGTTGATGTTCTACAAGTCAGTGGTTAAAATACAGATAGTATAAATATATTTAATTAATTACCTTTAGTTCGAGGATTTGGAAGCAGGTTATTTCTTATGTTAAGGGCTCTCTTCATATCATAATATTCTTCGTAGTTGGGGTAGTTTTTGTTTGCCATAGATCCCAAATCACGATGAGGAATAAAACTGATATCGTCTTTTCTTCTTTCATTACCCACCCGTCTTCGTACACCTTGAAGTGAAAGAGCCTCATCCTCACTGCTTTCACCCGACTCAAAATTTCGGTCTGCTTCGAAGATAGCTTCTCTAGTCACATCTTCTCTCTCACGGGGTTTTCTTCTTCCCGTCCGCCTTACTTCTACTCTGGGCCTAAACTTGTTTCTAATATCTATTTTATTTCTTGTTTCAATATCTCTGTTATCCTCCACTTGGTCCCAATAACGTGATCTACTTTTAGAGTTGGTAAATCGTTGACGTCCTTGATGAGACAAGTTATTATCTACTTTCTTTAACTTTTTTCCTTTTGTGGACGGTGTGTCTTCTACACGGTGATTAGACTTAATCTCTCGCTCTTCAGAATACTTATCTATATCATGATTGTAATCCTCTTCTTCATCTATGAGTCGGTTGTTCTTTCTTTCGATTTGCCATGCGTCGTTTTCTCCAACACTGTTTTCAGTTTGTCCCTCATATATTCCTGTAATTTTTTTAAATATTATTATTTAGTGTTAATACTATATGATTATAAAATTATAAAATTTTCATATTGTTACCGCTAGATGGCTCTTCATATTTATAATCTAAAGGCACAGAAGCATCGGGTGACCGCTCAGGATAATCATCACGAGGTAAGGAGTCCCTGTTGGGATAGTCTTCATGGTAGAAGGGCATGCGAGCGCCAGAGTAGTCAGCGTAACGTGCTGTTGCGGAGGTCGCCCAAGCCACCGCTATCGTCACGGCACTAACAAACATACCGCGCAACACGCCTAAGCTCATATTCTCTCGGAATTATTATGATGGGATATCATCAGTCTTGTGAAAATTTTGTGACATAATTAATCTTGTAACTAGGAATTTGACACTGAAGTTTTGGTTGAATCAATTCTTGGCCCGTCGCATTTTTTTTAAATGTATGAGATACATTATACCAGTTTGATTTTTAACAACAAAACAGTTGAAAAGCAAGCAATTGTAATTTGAATAATATCTAAATCTATTAAGCTGGTAATAAACATGGAACACAGGGAAATGGTATTTCATTAATTCCTATTAAATCTCATATTATACCTCATTATAACAAGCGAAATTATTATGAAACAAATTCCACAACCTCAGTGCAACGTCATTGTCATTTGGGTAATGTTTTAGAAATGTAACAATGTAAATATTTTCAGTGTTTTATTACAAATTAAAGATGGAATAACCATCTTCGTTATGAGTGGGAGTAACAAAAATGAAAAAAAGGAGGAGGACTGTAGCTGTTACGCGGAGTCTCGCACAAAGAAGACTTGTCCTCCCGTACGCAACGTGACGCACCCTCTGCGCTATTACGAGTTCTCGCCCGACGAGCTGAAAGCGCTGGAAGAGTGCGACAAAGAGAGCTTCTACCAACGCTGCTTGCCCTTCAGCACGCTCTTTGCCACTGTCACCTACGCTGCAGTTAAATATGGTAATTCACCTAACACGACATTTCTTTATCTGTAGGGACACCACCAAAACTTCATAGAAGTAAGCTATGCTAAATTCTTTCACTTTATTTTACATGTTTATACCTCTGTTTTTCGTTGTCGTTCCTGCTAATAACTTACTTCTGTGAATGTTTTCTTTTTTAGAGTTCCTGAGCCGAAACCCCCATTTTGGTGCCGTGCCCAAGGTTCTGGTGGCTGCTTTTGTGGGTCATATATATGGTCGCCTCTCATACATGTCCAAATGTGAAGCAAAATTGCGCAATTTACCCACAAATAGCCACCTTGGAAACGTCATGAGAAAATATCATTTGGAAAACAATCCTCCGCTGGATCCTAAGAAACGTTAATTACAACTACCTATAACTGATGATTTAAATGTGTACCTACTGTTTATTTTAAATACATAAAATGTATATAAACATACTGAATCTTAAGATTTTACATTTTAGTAAAACATTACTAATATGTATTTAAAATTTATAATTTCATGTTCACCCCTTTTCTTACTTTTCAATAAGTTCACATATAGTCCATGTAGGTAAGTACCTATTACAAATCCAATCAGGTTGGTCAAAGCATCCTGCAAAATCACAGGATATTTACATCATTCGCTTTTAATGTCGCACTTGCACTATCTTGATAATTTTGATACTCTGCGGAACGAAGATTACGGGGCTATCTGTCAGTGTTTACTGTCATCTGCCAAATTGCCAATCCAACAATCAATTTTCAAAAGTTCAAGCACCCTGATTTTTAACTTCCAAGAATAAGTTACGTTTGTTCTTCATGAGCAAAAAATATTTAAGTTTTCCTAAGAATTTAGCAAAGTCGTAGAAATTTTATTTAATGAACGAGTCAACTTTATTTGGTCACGAGAGTGGTGGTCAATCTCCGCCAGGCTCAGCCAGACAGGCATCGGCGGTAAGGTTATTGTTACGAATGTTGTGAATTATTTTGGTGAGCAATAGATACCTAATATAGTAGTTTTTAGGCGCCGCACAAATTTTCGCCAGAAGAATTGCAGGTCTTGCAAGAATGCAACACAGAAAGCTTCTTTCAACGATCGCTGCCCTTAGGTACTATGTTCGGTCTTGGTGCTTACTTCGGTGTGCAACAAGGTACAGGTTTTACTTATTTTATATTTAGTTCCCAAGCCCCATATTGTTTTTGTGTTTGTAAATAACATACCTTCTTTGTAAACAGTGACATTTTTTACTTAAAGCGTTCTTCCATAGGTCATTTCAAGCCCAACCCAAGATTTGGTGCATTCCCAAAGGTGACCTTAGCAGTGATTGTGGGGTATTTCTTGGGTAAGCTGTCTTACCAGCAAGCATGTGCTGAGAAGTTGATGGCTCTTCCAGGTAGTTACATTGGTCAACTCCTCAGAGAAAGAAAAGAAGGAAAATTTAGGTTTGTATTAATCAGAAAATTACTTAGTGTGTCAGTTGGGGAGGCACATATTGTATACATCCTTGGTCTTGAATTGGATTCCTTTTTTAAAACAATAATTATTTTAGGCTGATCATACACTATATTTTTCTGCCATCACAATTGATTATCTGAATTGTTGTTTAGCTGGTTTTCATCATATATATTGATACAAGATGTTGGATTAATTATAGTGCGACACGCGCTCCCGCTCCACCTACAATGTTTGGTGCAGCTCCAGGTGATATATATTCAGATGCAGGCCCTGGCAACTCTCTGGATCTCGATACTGACCGACCATTGTTCTCAGAGGACTCATTTAATGCAACCTCTGAATTTGGTAAGTGTTATATGTATTAATTTATTTTTTATTTACAAGAAACACGGTCTTGGCTTAACAGGTGACCCTTAATTAACAAGAACAATTATCCAATAAAAACTTCACACACAAAATAATAACCAACATAAGAAATTAACTAATTGTTATAGGCACTAACAAATAAAATTTGTCAGGTCTGTTAGTAATTTGCAATATAATACATCAAATAATATGTGTCTGGGTGGGGGCACATGCGGTAATGGCAGATTATGTCCCGTCTTGACATGCCTATCAGGGACATTGATCCTAAAGAACTGCTAGCTATAGCTGTAATTTTATACATGACGGAGAGAGTAGTGACAAGGAGTTATAGGAATATTGTTATCTAGCGACAGGAAGGTCGGAGAAGACAAGAGGATAGGGACAGTGACCGATTGTTGACAAAGCAACAAACTATATCCTAAACAATGTCTCAAAAGCACGACCAGATTTTTTACAAGAACAGGACCTGCCGATAAATTGTTGAAGATAATAATGTCAGAAATATTGATCTCTCAATCGAACTGAGGGCCGCACCAACCAGTTCCTGTATTTATAGCAACCAGAATTTGTAATAAACAAGCTTTGTGACATTTCATATATTTGTTCCACGACCAAACCCGAATCAACTACAGAGTGAAACGGCAGTCATAAGAATGACTGTCAAAGATGACTTTAATCTTTATAGTCATTATGTTTAAAATATTTAATATTATGATAAATAATGATGTGTCGATCTAGTAACTTTAACAAAATAACAATGTAATAAATTAATTTTATGATAAAATTATACTTAAACAAATGTTAAACCTAAAAGAGTGATACAACTAAAATATAATAAAAAAATTCAATTCAAACTCAGCCTCATATATATAGCTCAACTAATAACATCTACTTTTTGATTTGTAGAAATGTATATATATTTACATAATAAAAAGTAATAGTTAGATTACACCAAAAGCTTGCATACACCAAAGCATAATGATGATATATCATGCATACAACGTGTACTTGTGTAAAATATAAGGATGTTTTAATCCAACACCTTAATTTATAAAAATATAGAAACCTATATTGGTGAAGGATAGTTGAAATTTAATTATTTGAAAATGTCTGCAGTATTGCCATTCTTTATCCAGCCTTGTCATGAATGTGATATTCTTCTTCACAGGCTATACAACCAGGAATTTTAATCTTTTGGTACTCTGAAATTATTACATATACAGTGTTAACTCGTTATAACGAATTTCAAGGAACCGAGCATTTTTATTCGTTATAGAGAGGTTTCGTTATAGGCAGGGAAGATTTAATGTATGGGTATTGGGTACCAAATAAATATTACTCATTTTTACTTTATATATAGTTTTCGTTATAACGAATGACGTTATAAAGCCACTGTTTATTTTAGTATACACCTACTTATAAAAACACTAATATTTTAAAAGAAACTCAAGCAAGGACAGTCGTGATACTATTCCTTTTTTTCGTTTCATTTCTGCAAGAGACAACAAGGCTAATGAAATAAGGTTCTGAGATAAAAATTATAATTTTATTGCTACAAATTATCAAAAGGTTAACCATATTTCGTCTATCAGAGATCAGGTTGATTTATATAGCAGCAAAGACAATAATAATAATAATAATTTCGACAATACCAATTCATTTCTTAAGAATTCGAAAACAGTGAATGTACAAACAATTGCCTGTTTCGTGCTTACATTTTCTCGCCATCTTTATATCTTTTCTAAGTGTTAACATCGTTTATTTCTTTAAAAAAAATTTGAAACGGGTACCTTCTGTACCAACAACAAAGTACTATAATAAATAAAGCCTAATAATAACTTATTTTTTTTCTTAAAAAAATCTGTGTTATATATAATATTAATAATATTATTTTATAAACTTACCCCTTACTTATTATTCAATAATCAAACAACTTGGACAGCTCAAAAATGGCGTTTAAAATGTATATAGATTTCTACTTGGACCAATCTTATATTTAAATATGTAATGTCACAACTTTAAAACTTTTTTTTAAATTTTCTAGTTATATAATATTGTTAATTTTAATGTTGATTGTTTAGGTAAACCATTAGAACCAGAACTGTCGCCGGCCCGGCCCGTTCAGTCCTACGATGAGCTGCGCAGACGCAACCGCGGCGAGTACAATGACGCCCGACAGGATCCTTATAAGTGAGATTTAAAGCTTTATCCAATTTGGCATGTTTGCAAAATTAATTGTAATTTTAAGATGTTACAAAATTGTCACGAAAAAGGATAAAAGAAAAATTATCCAATACAAAACGTTCATGGGTTAACATGTCATTAAATTCATCCCGTCGATACGGTAAACTCTACCCTCAAATTAAAGAACGTATTTAAATATGTTTGGGTATAAGGGTAAAGCGTCTGACAATATTTCAGAGTGGATCCAAACAGTGCACCGGTTGTAACTCGCCCCAGTCCACGCCCAGCAAATCCATCCGTCACTAACAAGTATGGCGACGAAATGGAATAATAGCTCCATTTAGCATTAGATTAGATGCTTAAGAACAATGCCAGCAATAACTTTTGAATTTTGTTTTTGTTTAAATAAAAGTATTTTACAGCGTTTGTAGAGCTTTCATTTATATCGTTAAACTGGCATATTAATTAAATTATATATAAATAGCTTTCGTGGCTGCTATTAAAAAAAAGGTTTGGTTTAAAACTGACTCTCATACCTGAGGTCGTAGGTTCGATCTCCGGCTGTGCACCAATGGGCTTTCTTTATATGTGCGCATTTAACATTTGCTCGAACGGTGAAGGAAAACATCGTGAGGAAACCGACATGTCTTAGACACAAAAGTCGATGGCGTGCGTCGGGCTGAAGGCTGATCACCTACTTGCCTATTAGATTTAAAAGTGATCATGAGATTCAGAAATCTGAGGGCAAGACCTAAAATAGGTTGTAGCGCCACTGAATTACTTATTTTATTAAAACTGTTGATTAAAAATGTACCTGCTAAAAGCCTATTTAAAAATGATAAACGCTGATTAACTACTGAACAGAAAAAAATTGTATTGTCTTTGATTAACATAACCTTTACACATTTAAAGAAAAAAACTTTTTAACCGGATTAAAGTTATGTATTTAATTATAAATTTACAATTATTTAACATAATTTCGTCGTAATAACGTCGGATAAATTTAAAATTATGTTAAATAATTGTAAATTTATAATAATACATACTTTAATCCGGTTAAAGTTTTTTCCAGAAAAATAAATTGTAACTTTATTGTTAAGATCCAGTAATTTTTGTAGTTGAAGATCAAATAAAAAACTGTTCTGTTACACATTACTTTACTTATAATTGACAATAACAATAAACCGTCCCAGTCAACATTTTCAAACAGAAATTAAATTTCAAAATATATTGTCCATGGGTGGCGGTAACCATTAACATCAGGTGAGCTTTCAGCACGTTTACCGGTTCTTAAAAAAAAACGATGATTTTTTGGACGAAGCCGTAATTTAGCCTTAATTGTGCAATAACGATCAAGTCGCAGTACGGCAGAGCTGCTGTTAAATCAAAATTACTTTCGCTAAAGTCGGCGCAACATCACGGAGTCGGGACGACTTAACTGGGAAACCTCAAGTAATTACAGCACACCCGTAGTGCGGCCTATCTTTACACGTAATAATAAACTACATTGACATTTTAACACACATATATTATGACTAATATCATTAAAAATAATCAATTATATAATATAACAAAAATTCTCGAAAAATATAATTTTAAACAATTATTTACAGAAACAAATCAAATAAAAAATACAGTATACTGTATCGCACCATAACAAGACAAAATAAAGCTTTACGAAGTGCTCTCAGCAGAACAAACTGACCAACCATTTAGATAATTATTTTTCAATTCTTTCTTCGATGCATTAACCTCATGACTCATCATACAACACTGACGGGCCTTTGCTTTCAAATCCAGAAAAACATATAGTAATATTTTTATTATACTGCTAGTAAAATAAATAATTATAATATTATGGTAACACATTGTCTTAGTCGATATAAGAATATTGTCCAATTTCTTTCTTTATCAAACTGATTTCTTTTTTGTATCTACAACTCGAAGTAACCTTGATGTAAAAGTTACTTAAAAATATTACAAACTGCTTTAGATTTTCACAATTGTTAAAAATAAATTATTCCCTCTGAATACATGCAGAGAATATTTTTCCTATTAGATATAGCATTCGTTTATTTACCGTGTAATTCCGGTTCGATTGTATGAACATGACGAAAACGGCTTGGCTTATTCACACTGATTAAAAGCCGAATATTGAAACGCATTACTGTTTGGCCACTCGAGTGGTGAGAAGACGATTCTTTGACACATGAATATTGGGAGCAGCCCTCAATCCTCCTTTAAATAATCTAATTAATGCAATATAAATAAAATCACAGCTCAAAGTCTACCCTATCGGGAGCCGAGGCCCACGCCACATCTTTGTACTCAAAACAATTTATTGCACGTACGCAATGACGTAGTTGAGCTTATACGTCTGCCAGTGCGTAAAAGTACTCGACACGGTCAAATGAAAATACATAGTAACAAATTAAATTAGAATCGTATTTCAATCAAAACGATATTCAATAACAAATAGCTTGTGTGTACAAGATATTTGGTGGCCCAAATCGTGTATCACTATTAAACTACTGAGTTGCTAAGATAAACAATATTGCACCAAAGACAATTAAATTAAATAGACAATTCATTGCTGTTAATAATAATATAGGTAAATGAGCTAAATCAAATGAGCATTTCGCATGAACAGAAAGAAATAATCTGTCAATAACGAGTTTGTATAAAGTGTAAATACTAAAAGTAAAAGGAATTAATTTATCAATCAATCAAACAAGAGTTTTTTTTTTAATTTATCCGTTTCACGTGATAATGACGCATTGTTTCCATTGTTAACTTAAGAGTTATGTGGAAAGGGATAAACATATAGTAGCATATTATTCTGTAATTTTCATACAAAAAGATAATTTATAAAGAAATTATTAGTTTTAATTAGTAAATTTTCAATTACTATAATAATAGCAGTTTTTAATATGTTTTCTTCATGATTAATTGACTCTGGTTTTAACAGGCAATTTAGTTCTTTTGATATATGTTTAATTAACAATAAATACTATAGTAGAAAAGCTTTAAATAAATAATGACTGGAAAAAAGTTAAAATAAACAAAATAAACTTCTGTTTGGGTGAAGTGTACGGTGTCCATAAAGCTATAATTTTTTGACATGTCAGAGATGGCAAACCTTTTTTTAAGTTTACCAAACCTGGAATTGATGGCAGTGATGCCAACTAAAGAATAAAATAAAGTAATTAAAGTTAATTCGATATATCGTTCGTGATAATTAAATATTTGTTATTTGAATTAAAGTAAATATTTAGATTTACCTTTTCGTAGGTAAAACATAAAAAATACATAGCATTTTTATTATTGCCCTCAAATAAGTCAAATTTGTCCCTTTTTCGGTGGAGAACTTATTTTGTAGCAACACTAATAAAATGTCAGAATTCTACGGTATTAAAAATCAGAGTATACAAAGTCTGACTTGTTTTAATTCTACCTACCTTTAATTGTCTTTGATAACAATACATCAGTTGCAATCATAAACATAAAGACGTGTTTTTGCAGAAACTAATTAATTGCACAGTGAAACGTTTAGGGCAGTGGCCAAGGTAGGCCAGAGAAATTGACCGGTCCGCCGAGACCGGCATCCGCTTCCAAGAGGCTCATAATTACCGCCATGGCGGCTTCCCCATTTCCGTCGACCGTCGGCGGTGACAGCGGCGGCGGCGTGGGGCACAGCTCGACCGGGGGTGAAGCCCGAGCTCCCGCTACGCTGAGTGGGACGTTGTTGCGGACGGCTGCGCAAACCGTCTCGCTGGCCTCGCCCGCGTCGCCGCAGAGAATGTTGTCCACCAGCGACGGCTGAAATTACACCGCGACATGATATTAGCCAACTGCGATATCCAACAAAGCACCTCTTGCTTGCTAAAAATATCTGTTTAGCTAAGCTCATCACTTCACGTCGCAACAAAATTGCTTACGCTGTTAATTGATCATCATCAAACCATCACCATTTTAACACCCCGGGTTATAAAGAAAATACATTTTGTTCGAAGTGTTTTTATTGTAATGGGATGAGACATTTATTATGATGGTTGATCGTTGCTGACGTGTGGTCTTGTGAGCGTGTTCGTCGGTGACACTGGAGAGGCTGATCTCCTACCAGGGGTACTGTTGGGAACAATATTCTACCTTCAAATTTGAATATTCTATTAGTAAAACTAGCTGACCAGCAAACGAAGTTTTGCCATGTATAGTTCGATAAAAATATCTATGTACAATCATAAAACAAAGGGGTTGATGGTAGAGGGGTGACAATTAAGGGTTGTATGTATTTTTGTATCATAAAAAAATAAAAACCACAAAAATTTTCTAAAAATTAAAAAAATATGTTTTGTAGTGGATATCCCTTACCACTTGAAAGATAGATAGTAGCCAATTCGCAGACTTACTGAATATGCATTTCATAAGAATCAGCCGAGCCGTTTCGAAGGAGTATGGGAACGAACATTGTGACACGAGAATTTTAAATATTAGAAGTATATATCGCAATGAAACTTTGACTTGACTTGACTCGCATACAAAAATCTATGACGTTTAGCTATTCGATTAAATGTATGTCTCTAATTGTTAACGACTGACGTACCTAATTCATTTATTAATCAAATGCATTTGAAAACATTGAATGTTGTGTGTTGTGTGCGTGCACGGACGGACTCGTCCCAAGTCGGTCCGTGCACGCACACATGTCCGTCCGGTCCGTGTCGGTGAATGTGGTGAATTGGAAGGTGGAACAGTACCTGCTGATTGAAGAGGGCATCCTGCAGCAAATCAGCCGGCAATTCAGGTGAAAAGTCATTCGATGGTCTGCGCAAAGCCTCTTCCGCGATAGTAGAGCCTACTTTGTGGCACTCCAGTTGCGAGTCGATCAAACGCTGCATTTCCACATCCGCCTCCTCGCCTTCTGGAACGTTCCACTCATAGGTTAACGCTATACATTTGAAGCTTTTTTATTGTTTTGCCAGGTTTAGTACGACACGAATAATTTAAAGTAATTCACAAAATAAAACCAAACTACTGCTTATATCTTTAGTTGAAACCGCATTCTTGGACTTCTAATATTATCATTTCAATTTCAATCACCCATCTAATACAAGGTCGGACTCGGAATCTTATTGTTGTGATTCCAGCCATTTAACCAGAGTTTCTGTCGTCATATTTTTTTTAATAGAACCGTAGGAAAATTGGCAAGAAGCTTTCAAGTGCGTACCTTTTAAGAATTGGTAACTTCTTTTCCTCAAGGACCCTAAGTAAAGACAGGTTCCACTTAGTGGTGGTGTAAAAGTTACTTGTGTAAAACTCCGTAAATATTTATTACTTCGTTTCGTTTATATTTATCAGAATCAGGCAGAGGTGCAATCCACATTTTTTCTCGATCTTTCGACGTGATATTTGTATAGTTTCTGCTTCTTTTTCGCCTTTTTAACTTTTAATATATTTCGCATTCTTTGCCAATCTTCCTCAACTATGTTATTTTTGTACGTTGCTTAAAAGTAACTCAGGTTCAGGTGTAAAACAGTAGACCATAAGTGTACTACACAATAATAATATCTTTCTAATTTTTTTATTTTATTTTTCTTATGTAAGAAAAAATAGAAACTTACATGGAAAAAAATAATTTACTGAAAATTTAACTTTTTTGCTCCCACTATGCGTTCCCTTACTTCTTATTTTACAGTTCTGTCTTTCGAAAAGTTCTCCGATGTCCGTTACTTTCTCGTGTTTAAACTTTACGCCTTCCTTTCATGCTTTGACATAAAAATCGAAAGAAAATTACGTTAAGATCCTTTAGTAAGAAAATCTTCTTTTATTCCCAGTTTTGATTATTATGGTTTACGTAAACGAAATAGCAAGATTTTCATTATACTAAATATAACACCCGAAAAAATTACCTAATCGAGGAGGCATGCTGTCCTGCGCAGAGTTTTTGTATACCTGGTCATCAAACCCGGCATTTCCAGACGGCTGGACATCAATCGCCAGAACAGTGTTGTTGGCCACCAGATTCTCAACGTCTTTGGTCCATGGATTGCTACAAATTATGGACACGTCATTATATCTATATTGAAGTAAAACTTCTGAAATAAGCGTAAATGTTTACTAAAACGTCACGAAGATGAGCAGCGTTTTTGTCACAAAAGGGAGAGAGCGATTGAGAGAGTGAGAAGGGTGAATTACCTTATAGAAATTCTATTTTTAAAATTAAAATATTGTAGAAGAATTTATGAAATATTTGTATATTTTTATATTTTATGCAAAATAATTTATTGAAATCTCAAATGACGAATTGTAAATTGAAATACCACGTGTTTTTATAAACGAAGAAATAAATTTTAAAAAATGTAATATATTTTATTAATTTTCGACACTTAATATTTTAATAACAATTAAATTCATTAAATTCCTGACATATCTTCCTTGTTCCCACCCTCTAAGTCTCAGAAATCTAAAGTTTTAGAATGAAAAAGTTATAAATTAGTTTGCCAAAGAAGTTTCACTTCTGACATGTGTACCTACTTTGTACGCACGCACTTTGTTTTTCTTTATTTCCGTTCTACGCCCTTGATTTGGGAACTAGCAGTTAATGTAAAATTAGAAATGTGTTTTTCTTTTTTGACTTTGATAAATGAACTTTGTGTTATCTATATAAATAAATGATTTTGATTTGATTATCCTTTATCAGATTGCATATTGGTCTGTACATTATTTCTAAAAGATATAACAATTAAAAATATAATCCATTTATAAATTACCGAAAAGGCTTGAAATGGGTGATGAGGCTTGCGTAGAGGCCATCTTTTCGACGGAAGGAGTAGACAGCCGATCGTGCAGAAGATCGGCGCAGCAACGCGGCCTTGTGCGCTCGCGCCACTATGCCGAGTTCGCCAGGACTCACGTACTCGTACAGGCTGCTGCCTAATAGTTCTTGAGGAAGGAAACCCAGCGCCAGTGTCACTCTGGAAAATATGTATGATGGCTCAGTGGTTGAAGAAAAATGCTTGGAAAAAATGCTTTGTAATAGTTTCTAATCTATCGAAATACGCAAATCTAAAATACCTGCTCCCGATACATACTATATTGTAAGCAGAAAAACATAAGAGTGAAGTTCGTCAATAGTGATTCATGCCTAACTTCTCGCTACAAGCCGCCATTTTGATGTACTCACAGCGAGCCGTCGTACTTGTTGTACCTTTCGCTCGAAAACTGCAGCGAACAGACGGTCGCATCACTCCACATCCATGTGTATTGTATTTTTCATTTTGTTAAGATTTGAGTATAAGGATAAATACCAGACATCATAAATAATAAATATTTATTTTATATTTATTTCAAATTAATAAATATTTTTTTAATTAAATTGTTTGTTATTATTATAATATAATATTTAAAGGTTTTCTAACTCATATTCGAAGATCTTCGATCGGGTATTAAATACAACATACATCTTGTCGTTATCACTTTGATGATGTTATCATTTTTTCAAAAGCTAGTATAAAGGTCATGTTTTTGCTTGGATATATGACACTTGGACATATACAATTTGAGTCCAAACGTAAAAAGCATTGTGTTAGTAAAAAAAAAATAGTACAAATTGGATATACCTACCTCTGATCGACGAACAAAAACTTCCCGTCGGGCGCGTGCCTCGAAATGAACTGAAGCTGCCTCAGGGGCGGATGCGGGGCTCGGTCCGTGGAAGTCGACGGTGCTGAAGGCGGCTGAGGAGGATAAAGCAACTCCGGAACAGCTCGGCCCACCGCCACGAGGCATGACAGGTTGCAGGCTTCGTCTTCGCCCACGCATTCTGTTGAGCCGCCCGGCTCACACATTTCGGCTGGGGCCCAAGATTTCAAGTAGCCTGGAGGAATTATATCCGCTCTATTAGCACTCAATTAGACTGAAATAGGTCGACAAGTTCTAAGAAACAGGAACCTACAGTAAATAAATATTATAGAAGGAGCAACTTTATGGTTAGAGGAGCGAACAGATTAAATGAGTTAACTATTGACATTGATATGTTCGCCACGAGAGCTCTGATACAATTTTTTTTCGATTATGATGAATGTACAACCAAATTATTTAGCATGTTTCCCTTATTTGTGAAAAAAAATTGTGAAGATTTTTAATTGTAAATTTTCTGTATTGTGAAATCTATAAATAAATAAAGTTTGTTTTAATAATCTCGTTAAACACACCGGTACACTGCACGACACAGTACTTCTTGTCGCCAGTCTTCTTGCGAGGCTTGTGCTCATCTTCGGGAATCTTGCGGTCGGGGGATATGCGAGATTTGATGCGGCAAGAGAATGATCGTCGAGCGCCAGGGCAGAGCCTCGAGGCACCGTGAGCCACGTCCGCTTTCACTGGAAGCATCGCTGCAAATAACACAATCTTTTAAGGAAATATGCTATTTGACAGTAAAAAATAATATGTGACGACCACATCGCCCACTGGTGAGATTTGAGCAAGATTTGAGCAACAAAAAACCGCTCAAGCACAGAGATAAAGCCAGAGATAAACCCTCGGCAACACAATTATTTTATCACAGACTAACATTGGGGACACTCTAATATTATTCCCATCCATTTTCATTACAGTTTCTACGAGTAGTGGATTGTAAGATACTTCTCAGGTCTGTTTAGCTCTATCCGGGCTTTGAGCACAATTTAAACCACAAACCACCACGAGTCGTGAGGATATAAATTTCCCTCGCATCTCATTTGGACGTGTCCAATCTTTCCACTTTGTGAGCACGCGTAGAATATGCTATGTAACATCAACTGCTACGTTTTTAGCGTTAAGCTCCGGTTTCCTAGAAAAGCGGTGCCGTTAACTAACGGCCGTCATTACGGTGGCCAAGCTTTGGTTTCCTAGAAAGTGTGCGACCGTATTTTTGAAGTGTTATTCCAATTTCGTTCCACAAATTTTGCTTCATCTGAGTTTGTGAATCCAAAGAGCTGTACTCTTATATATTGTACAAAGCTTCATGATTTTTAACAAAATCAATTAATTGTTCATCATTTTCGCTCGTCCAAGTCATTGTATTAATTAAATATGCGCGCCGCTACACGCGAAAAACGTTGAATTACTGTTTATCACCGCTATGACGGCCGGCATGCAAATGACAGCACCGCTATTTGACGTTACGGTGACACTCAACGTTCTCTAGAAAACCTACTCCGATGTTATTTATAGACAACGTATGCGTGACGTCACCCAACGTTACATTACGGCCGTTAGATAACGGCACCGCTTTTCTAGGAAACCGTAGCTGTAGGAATTGAGGTCACAGATCAACAAGATGTTGTGTGTATGTAAAACCGCTGAAGTTTTTATACGCAGTGGCTTTAATGCCCATCATTCTGAACCGACTGAAGCTTTTATGATGTCGCTCTGGCATATGGTCTAACTCAACTGGTCACGATAATAATAATAATCAATGTCGCTACAACCTTTTTAGGTCTGGGCCTCAGATTTCTGTATCTGTTTCATGATCATTTGGTAATCTTATAGGCAAGTAGGTGATCAGCCTTCTGTGCCTGACGCACGCCGTTGACTTTTTGGGTCTAAGGCAAGCCGGTTTCCTCACGATGTTTTCCTTCACCGTTCGAGCGCACATAAAAAGAAAGTCCATTGGTGCACAGCCGGGGATCGAACCTACGACCTCAGGGATGAGAGTCGCACGCTGAAGCCACTAGGCCAACACTGCTCACAATACCTACGCGAATACCAGGCCGAGCTGAGCAAGCATGAGTCTTTGCTGTTGGATCTGATGCTGAATTGGGTTGCAAAGTCTTGCCAAACTCCTACTTTTTAGGAGATTTTGAAACGTATTTCATAAAAATTCTGCTTTTGGATAGTCAATATTATATCGACTTTTTCTACTCAGATGATGTAACCTTTTTATTAACTAAGTATAAATATTAACGACTTAGCTCAAAGGTAAATAATTACACATTTATCATAAAAATACTAACTCTTAGCATCGATGAGTCTCTCTCGAGGGCTGAGGTCTGATGAGGAAAGCTGTTCCTTCACTTTGGACACGTCTTTGGGATGGAGGATGTCAAAAAGACTCTGTCCAAGTAACTCAGACTGAAAGACACAAGTCATTGAATTAAAATGAAACTCACAAATACCCAACACAGTTATAAATGGATACTACTCTATAGAACACACCTGATCATAATGAAGCAAAGTGGTGACGCTGGCTGATAGGTACAACAGCCGCCCTCGGTCGCATCCCACCACCATGATGAAACAATCGTCTGCGGCGCGAAGGACTAGAGCGTTCAACTCACGCTCGGATAGAAAGGCGGGCCTCGGCCGAACAGTCAACGGTCCTGCAGATGACAGATATAAAACTCTCGTGTCACAATGTTTGTTATATACCATACTCCTCCGAAACGGCTCGACCCATTCTTATGATTTTTTTATGCATATTCAGTAAGTCTGAGAATCGGCTAATATTAATCTTTCAAACCCCCTAAGTGATACGTGGTGTCCACCCCAATTGTTTTTTATTTAACAGCATACAAAAATAATACAACCTCTAATTTTCACCCCTCTACGATCAACCCCTATTTTTTAATTACAATAGATAGTTATTTTTATTGAACAAAAAAATGCCGGGTCAGCTAGTATATAATATTATATATTATACATGTTCAATGAAACTTTGAGGTGCCCAATTCTGTATGATTGTAATAACCTGCTGACATGGCCCCGCGCACCGACCGCAGATGCTGCACTGCCATTCGCAGCACGGTCAACTTGTCCAGCTTCCGAGCCATCGCCCCACACATCGGCACCATCGCGCTCAGCTCCGATATGTACGTGTTCATTTTGTCACGGCGCCGCTTCTCTATTTCACTGTGGTTCTGTCTGAGAACCGATATCGTTAATCAATTCGATAGAGGCGACTAAGCGCATGGATTCTATAAGCAGTTACTGACGCACTCGTGAACTAGTTTCGACTTATGGGAAAAATTGGTTGTCTGTAAAGTCGGTTTACTGACGATGGTTGAACGTGACAACGTCCTAAGAAAATACTGATGGAATGGTTACATTTTTCAAAACAAAATTTTAATTTTATTTGTTTGATAGATATTTTGTATGGATATAGAGAAGGAGGTAAATGGAAATAACAATTGAATTGATCGATTACAATATAATCGATATAATACGATATATACTTTATATACAATAAAGATGTCGAAAGAGGCCGATTGTGCCTCTTTGTCGCTCGTTCCGCGCTCTCGCTTGCACTTCAAGCCTTAAATGGAACGCCTCAAAGCGAGGTAACGCCGCATTCGTCATGTTTTTTCGTGCGTGCAGCTGGCCCCATCGTATTATAAGACGTTGTCACGTCAAAAATAAGTAAATTTGCAGGTATATTCTGTAGTGGAACCTAATTCTGTTTCCTAGGTTATCAATTTCGCTTATTGTGTTGTGTTACGCAAGACGCAAATGTAAACTAGTCTGAAAAACAAAGGAATTACCTACTTACATTTAATTTAAATATGAATTCGCAATAAAGACAAAATCGCAAGAGCCTTTCATTCGCGTATTCTAAGCGTCAATAAATTTTAGGAGCGAAACCAATTTTTTAAAGTAATATTATTATCATGAATACTTAGGAACTTACCTCTTATCCGGCAGGGTTCGGACCGATCGAGAATCGTCAGTACCATCGTCTTCGTATGTTAGAGGCCCGGAGGTTACGGAACTGAAATTGATTAAGCCTATATTACACCGGGGCAACACTGTGCGGCATTGCGGCATGCCACAAGGCCGCATGTTATAAACTTTAAAATGTCGCACATTGTGGCAAAAATCGTGCGGCATGGCAACACCTTGCGTCATGTGGCAGACTGTCGCAGCTTGTAGGTTGTTATTTTTTGGTCTGCTTTAATTTTTGTTAGTAAACTAGTTCGTGGGCCATTCTGAAGTAATCTTCTTTTCCACAAACGTTTCTTTTTCCGTTGTTTAGCTGAATGGCTTAGAAGTACTAAATAAGCTGCTGCTAAAGTTACTAAGTAGACCAGTAACACTCCATAAACAGCACATTGTGCTGTTTATGGAGTGTTACTGGTACTTACCAAAGCATTGGCTTTGGTAAGTATCCCACGATGTTGCCTCGGCGTAAAATAGGCTGCCGTATGCCACATACGCAGCAAATGCTTTCTATTTGTAGCATGCCACAAGGTGCAGCATGCCGCAATGTGTAGCATGCGGCACTGTCGCACGTTGTTGCCTCAGCGTAAACCAGCCTTTAGAAATCAGTATTCGAATTCTTTAAAATTCTTGCCAGTTGGGAATGTATTTATTGTACCAACTGTATGTTTGTACGCAACGCAAGTATAAGTGATCAGATCACTAATGGTTGATCATATCCCAAGCCCATTCCTAAACGCTCATAATTATTCATTAGTATATGAACACAAATATTTTATAAGAATGGGATAAAAAGAGGTATTAATTCCTTATAAAACATCGTTGCTACGAACAATAACGAGTATATTTTTGCCTATACAATACTTACAGGCATAAAAACATTATACGGTGCGCAAGCATGTTTATTTTGTCGCTTTAGTTTCTTCAAAAAGACTGAAAACGTCAGTGGGAAATAAAAGGTCTAGTCGAATAGGCTAAGCTTTCTTGGTACTTTCTTGTAATATTATTTTGATGCGAGATATTTGCTATAAACAGTAAATAAAATTGTCACTCACTAAGATGATGGTTTTCTTCTGCGCGTGGCGCTGGCGGGCTGGAGCAACTGCGAGGACGCAGTGGATGAGGAGGAGCGGGGCAAGTCACACCCTGACATCTCATAAGCATCGGTACTGGATAACAAATAGTTTAATAATATAAACAATATCAATAGTAGTAGTGGTAATACAGTGTTAACTCTTTATAACATAATTCGTTGTAACGACAATCTCTCTGTAACGTAAAAATAGTTACATTTGTTTGGATTAACACAAAACCCATACATTAATTCACTCTTTATAACACAACAGCCGTTACTTGGACTCTTCGTGGTTGCTTCATTGCTAAAGTGCGGAACAATAATTTCTCTTGCAAGAGGGGGAAGTTATTTGTTTTAAAATAAGTGTCGCTTGCCATTGTCATTTTGCATGATGATTTGCTATTTTAAATGAGTACCGAGAGTAATTTTGGCTTTGTCTATCGGCTTATACCCCTTGTGCCTGTGACGTGGAATAAGTGATACCTGTATTCTATATTCCACAATAATCATTTTTTTTTATTGAAGTACAAATTTTGTCGGACATTGAATTCATACTCGTACTAATAATCCTGATGATCCAAGCATGAGCAAGCAAGTTCAATGTATATTTACAGATTGATTATATGAATAAGATACCAACACAGAGGCCTCATAGCCTAGCGGTCTTATTAAGTGGCAGCTAGGTGCCCCACCGGGTCGGGAACCCGGTGGGGCACCTAACGAGGGCAAGTTTTAATTTAAATTTGTTCTCGGCCTTTGGGAGGGCGCACAGCCCTCCTCCCAAAGGCGGGCGAGTGCTTAAACCGTACATGGAGGACACGGTCGAATTTTTAAGGCAAGCACGAATTATAAAAATCTTATACTTGACGCTGGCAAATGCACAAACAAAAAAAAAAGATACCAACAAGCAAATTGTCAATTGTAGAATATTATGTTAAAGACTTGAATGAAATACTTACAAGAGCGGGCTCTTCCTCTTTCGCTGCTCGAGCGGCATCGTGTGCGCAGTTTGCGGCAAGAGGCCCGTCTCGCGGGCCGCGACCGAACCCACCTCAGACGCCGCGCCCGCCACCGCACCCGCTGTCACCTCGTACCCCGCCGACGCACCCGCCACCGATCCACTGGAACAAGGATATCTCATGTCAGTATTTCTACGTATTATACCATAAATAATAGAGTAGACCGTCTCAGGGCACAGAGCATCTGACCTTGACTTTGGCCTGCCGTTGACTTATCACGGCTACGTAATATTACACGTTTCCATGCAACGTTATGTCATCGCTTCCATGAATTTTCTTGTCACTGTCGTACACAATGATCTAATAATGCAATATAATTTAAAAGCCTCGTTAGTAACAGGATTATCCAAAAGAGACAAATAAAAAAAATCTAAACACAACGTTCCGGTACAATGGGAAGAAAAACTAAATGTATTTATTTATTTAATACAACATAAGTAGCGTGAAACACTCCACTGACGATCCCCTTTTTTCATTGAAGTTACATTACTAATTAAGTTTTCTTAAAGCTGATATAAAAAAGAAAATTCAGATGAGACAGGTCACAGGTAAGGGAGCGTTCAAGTATTACGTCACGCAATTTTTGGAGATTATTGACTCCCCATGTAACGCGCCTTAACGTTTTTCTGTACCCAATAGTAAAACATTTTGTGACCACCCACTGACTCTTTATACCTTAAAGTTACCATTATGTAAAGTACTGGAAAGTCGAAAATAATATTAACAATAACGCGCCGAATGGACTGGCCCAAAGGAGAAAGAAAGAAGGGCAAACCAAAAGAGCGAAGGCCGACAAGGGAGAGAAGAGAGAAGGGTTTGCCAAAAATTAGATTATGGCGACAAAAAATAAAATAAGGAAGAAAAGTTGGATGAGGCCTTCTTCCAGACTTCTTTATAGACATATTTATTTTTGTATACAGTATTTTACATGTAAATAAGACGTGAACAAATATACTTATTATTATTATTAGATGTTTGTAAATACGTAATGTATCATTAAAAACTAAATAATTATTATGTAATGTATACTAATAATATACTGCTGACGAGTTTGTTTATTTAATAACAAGCATTCGGAAATTGCGCTTCGAATGAAAATCAATTTATGTTGGATAGTCAAATGTCCGTTTATTTGCAGATTCGTCGCTTTAATTAGGTCTAAATGAAAATGTTGCAATAACGAAAATATGTATAGGTATGAAACTATTTCATTACGAGAGCTTTCGTTGTGTGTGCAGCCAAAACCGATAGAGTTACACATCTCATCATAATCGCCAACCAGTATATTTTATTGTTATAAATAAAACAAGATACAATGGATCCTAATATTATAAACGCGAAAGTTTGTATGTATGGATTGATGTTTGATACTCTTTCACGAAGAACTACTGAATGGATTTTAATGAAACTTTACAATAATATAGCTACATCACAAAAACACATAGGCTCCAATTTATAAAAATATTGTGTTAATTGTCGAAAATATCAATTAAGTAGGAAACAATCTACCATCTGCGAGCTATTCTGGCGTGCACTGCCAAAACCGCTAGAGTTACACATATGTAATGTATGATGGAAATGTTTATCTTAAATAGACCTACAAAAAAGCGCCCCACAGTATAAATCTATGTCTTATGTGTAAGCCATAATACCTTTTCATAACGTCATCGCTATAAACTAAAACCCAGCGAATGTCCATCAATAAAATCAGCATAAATTATCGTAAGCATGATCAAACATGTGAACACTCGTCACATTTCGATAAAGGTGTTACTTACAACTTTCAGTCACTTTGACAAATTCTTGGATACAACTAGTAGGTACCTATACAATCTATTATATAAAAATCAATCCCTATTGCCCTTGGCCACGGCATCACGTGCAAACTGCTAAACCAATTTCGCTTTCTTCTTCTATCTTGATTTCTTCTTTCAAATTTATTTATTGTTGTGTTTGTTATTGTCGGGATTTTTTAAGAAAAAATTAAGAAAATTGCGCGGTAAATTATAAAATTTAAGAATACATAACCACGAGACAGTTAAAACTTTTTTGATGTAACCTTATGGCGTTTGACATAACGTTGACAGTTTTATAACTAGAGTCCTTTTCATGAAAGAAGTCCCGCGGAGATTTTTGGAACTAAATTTGACAGGTCGACCATGTTGTCGTTCGTCGATGTTATCAAGTTCGTTTGTTGTGGTAGATTTTTGTGAGTTTTTAACTAGCTTAGTGCATTTTAAAGATTGTTGACAATGCCAAAAGTTGTATAAAGTTCGGCTCAAGAAATGATATTGAAGGTGATAGAGTTCTGTGAAGCGGAACAAAAAAATTTGGTGTTTTAATACCACTAAACAATGTTCAGAAGAGAGTAGCCGCCATAACAGGTACTTTTTAGAGTTGCCACATAATAATTTTTTGCTGTATTTATGGGACTTTTATGATATAAATTCATTTTGCGACAAATTTGAACACATACATAACGAATGAAACTGAAATTAAAACATATATTACATAGTACATAAGCATTATAAACTTAAAGTTACTATTATTTTTAATTATTCATTATTTAATTGCAGGTGTGTCAGTGAGAACTGTAACAAGAATTACAAAAGAAGGTATAACAGCGGCGAGTACTTCGAAGAAAATTGTCACCCCGGGGAAGAGGCGCCCGCATCCGAAATGGTATCAATATAAAAAAGAACAATTATATCTACGGCTGGTGATACTGAAACAGAATCAGATTCTGTTTCCATCCACTCTTCAGACAGTGATGTTCCTATGGCAGTTGATCACAATTATTCAATAAAACTCTGAATAAAAAATTGTAATGCTTTTCTTTACCCTATTTTCTCATCTGTTCCCTGTAAGTAGGTAGGACACCGCTAATATAAGTAAATAAAAATATACTTTTTACATAACAGAAATATTGTTTCATCAAAGTATGCAGAAAATAGTATTATTTGATAAATTACATCTGCTAAATGTAAATAAAATAGGTAGTGGCAACATTACGTCATGCGATTGCAGCGCCGCATCTGGGGGACTTCTTTCATGAAAAGGACTAGCTAGCTATAGATCAGCAAACTACATCAAAAACTTTTTAGAAAGGGAGACAAGAAACTGCATGAGCTAATATGTAGGTATATAATATCTTTATATATACAAATATAATTCTGCTGAACGTGTGTATGTCACTGAACTCCTCGTAAACGGCTGGACCAATTTAAATGTTTTTTTTTTGTATGCGTTTGGGTGCCTGGATGGTTTAGATTCACAAATCAGCCCAGCAGATGGCGCTGCACTTTCATAGTTTGTTTAATATACTAACCGCTTGAAATATCATGCAGGACAACGTCTGTCGGGTCCGCTAGTAATAATATAAATATCAGGATACATATCCATACCACTAATATCACGATTAGAGTTAAATATTAATCTGAAAGATCTGAGCCCGTCGGAGCCCTACTTGTTTCAAACTTAGTTTGTAAAGGACAATTCTATGAAAGAATTCCCTCGGCTCTAAAGTGCGTGATCTATCATAAACTTATTGCCGATTATCCAATCTATATTTTACTGAGGTTTTGGTGGTGTAATGTCCTCGAGAAAAGGCGGGGCGCCGAGTGGGCGGCTCTCGAGACACGCCCCTCTCTCAAGCCGCCTCTTATCTTGTCTCGGTACAGTGAGGCTGAATTGTTTAAAACACCTTTTCGTATAACGCATAACAATAAGGTCCCACGCTTTACACGAAAGTCAAATAGGTAGCATTTAGTCGGGAATAATTATTTGAACTGTATCATAATCACATTTAAACTCAAACCTAATATTAATAACCAACAGATACCAAAACCCGGTGCTAGGTGAGAAAACGCAGACATTAAGAGGCAACTGGATCGATCGTGGTTAATACAATAAAGACTAATTAAGTTTAACTTAGAGCCGAAGCCCGCGACACCCCTTTGCCTCCTCACCTCCCCTGAGAACACAACAGTGAACCTTCAAACCACTCGTACGGCTTCTCCAAATTAAACTACGAAATTTAACTCTTACTTAAAAGAGTAGACACATACATTTTTAACACTCTTTATTTACATGACTTAATATCCTATAACCCATAGATGGGGCAGTGGGCGTCCACAGTGAGTCTCCATCGCGTTCGGTTCTGAGCCTCGTATTTCAATTTTCACCTCGCTCCAAGTATTTCTGGCTCTCTTTGCCTCGTCTGCAACTGTACGCCAGGTTTGCTTGGGACGGCCACGCTTCCGCTTTCCTTGCGGATTCCAATCAAGCGTCTGCTTGGGAATATGATTGGAATCCCTTCGGAGTGTATGGCCTATCCAATTCCATTTGCGTCGCTTGAGCTGCTGGCTGACCGGGGTTTCTCGGCAGCGCTCCCAAAGTTGCTCGTTAGGCCAGTAGATGCCCAGAATACGGCGAAAACAGCGGTTGACGAAGACTTGTAGTCGGTGCGAGATGTCTTTGTTGACCTTCCACGTTTCACACCCAAAGAGCAGCACAGATTTGACGTTGGATCCGAATATTTTAACCATGAATCGACGCACATCCGTGATTGCCATACAGGTCGAAGTTGTGCAAAGGTTGCTCGGGGCTTGGCAATGCGTAAAGTCCTCTTCTGTACCTCCAGTTTCAGACACGACGCTTCGGAGGTAAACAAATGTTTGAACGCTTTCTACGCGCTCTACACCCATCCGCAATGGAGCGGTTCTCAACTCCAACACGCATGTCTAAAATGTACATAAACCGATTTAAAAACGAAAGAGCATTGCGAGTACGTAACAGGGTAGTCTTAGACTGCTGTATAAAAAAACTAGCTGACCCAGCTAACTTCGTTCCGCCTAAAGCGGGCCATAGATGGACCGCAAGTTGCAGCCGATACCGATTGCTCTACGCGGTCGCCGCACGGCGATCTGCAGTTTCCATACTAAATTCATATTCGCAATACACGGACCGCTCGAGCAGTTCCTGAGCAAACCGCATGTTGCATGCGGTCCGAATATGACCCGCTTTACAGTCTAATAATATGGTGTTATTAGTTAAACTTAATTTAGGATTTCATTAAGGTAATAAAATAAATACAACTCTAC